TTTTTTTTATTCCACTCGAACGGAGTCGCGGGCGAAAGCTAGTACATACAAGTATAGCCAGCGTGTCTGTACGTAAAATTCTGTCAGTATGCATAATTGCGTTTTATTATCCTATCATTTGCAACATCTATTTAATTGTTTATTTGTAAGAGGCGGAGTTTGTTTTAGCAAGAAACAAGGCGATTTCTTGTAAACAAGTGTAAATACTCTTTATTGATATAAATATTGGTTAAATTTGTGTTATTAATTTATATGGCGTTATTAAATTTCAACGTTAACCAGGATAAAGGTGAGGGCGAAGACCCTTACGAGTTCTCGTCTGACGAGGAGGCGGAGCCCGTCCTGCGCGCGGCGCACCGCACGCAGCCCGACACGCAGCCTGCCTCTGCTCACACCACTATTGATGAACAAAGGTCGGTTATACAACTAAGTATTGAATATCAAGTAAGAAATAGAGAACAAAAGTAAATACGCTTCAGTATCTAATCTTACTTATATTATAAATGCAAAAGTTTAGATGGATGGATGTTTGTTAGAGTTTGTAGCCTAAACGACTGAACGGATCTTGATAAAATTGGGCATAGATGTAGAGGATACTCTGGAAGAACACATAAGCTACTTGCTTTTGTTCTTTTTAATTCCATGCGGACGGAGTCGCGGGCGAAAGCTAGTATTTTATATTTTACTTGGGCATACCAATTACTAGGTATCGACCGTGACTGTCCGCATAGAATTATGAAATAGTAAAAAAATCTATTTTATTTTAGTGATAATGTAGCCGTATGTAAATTTATTGGTAAAAGAATTTTTAAAATTGGTTCAGTATATTTTGAGTTAAATACATACAAAAGTACAAATCTTTCCTCTTTATAATATTACTATAGATTAAAAAAAAATTTGTATACCTCGATTCCAAAAAAAAAAAGAAATTTAGATAAATAGTGAAACTTTAGATGTATGGTGTTATCATTTAAAATTAGACGCCATTCACTTTAAAATAATAAAAAAACTTAAATTTCCAGATTAACACAATTCAAGTCAGCACTGCAGCAGCTGTTCCGCGAGGAGCGCGCCAACTCGCTGCCCCTGGACAGGGTGACTCGCCACGTCAACGACAAGTACTCGCACGAGCCCTACTCGCCGGCCGAGCTGCTCGCCGCGCTGCAGCGCATGACGCACGACAACCACGTCATGATGGCCGACGATATCGTCTTCTTAATATAGGTACACCACAATGTACACTCAGCTGCAAATACTTGTATACAATAAACTATAAAAAAATAGCTGTCGTCCCCGAGTAATTAAAAAAAAATTAGTCTATGTGTTCTTCCAGATTATTCTCTACATCTGTACAAAATTTCATCTGAATCCATTCAGCCGTTTAGGCTACAAACTCTAACAAACATCCATCCATCTAAACTTTTTCATATAGTACGAACGTATAATGCATAATATTAGTATGAAGTATGATAACCATAGGCCTCGATGAACACCTCACACCCGCTATTTTGTCCCCTTCTCTTATAAAATATTTTCAACAAATGCAGATTTAAGAATCCGTATGTAAACAAACCCTAAGATATACTAAAGTTTCGTAAATACATATTTATGTAGCTGACTGTACATAGGTAGTATCTAAGACTTAAGTATGGCCAAAACATAGATATGTCTAGGGAGAAATCAGCTAAGAACCTAGAACAAAGTGTCTAACCCAACATCAAGACATATCTTAAGAACTAGATAAAGCCTAGATTTATGATCAATTGTAGTTTTAAGTACTATTTTTTGTTTTATAATCAATATCGAAATATTGTTTAATCTGCATTTATTTAATAAAACTGAATAAATCCAAATGATATAAACGTATTCTCAGTTTAAAACTTAAATCTTTGTGGATATTATTTATCTATTTTTTTAATGAAACCAATAAATAAGACATTGTTAAAGTAATGATTAAGTGGAATTCAATTTACTTAACCAAAGTGACTTGAATTTCTTATTTTAAAATTTCTTGTCTCATATTTTTATTCTTCTATTCTTCATTTGTAATGAAAAGTTTTAAATATGTTTTATGATAATGTTCTCATATAATATGGATGTTGTGTCACCACATTTTAAATAGTAAAATAATTTTATTATCAATCGGATGTTTTGATGAATAATTAGCCCACCAATTTAATAATAAACACAGTCAACTATTATTGTATTATTTCGATTATTTTCATATGCTGTTTAAATATTGTATTTCTTCTGCTGAAGGATTCGCAAAATTGTTATCCAAAAATGTCTATTTCTTGCTTAGAACTCAAATAAAAATAATTTTGTATTTGATTTTAACAAACTAAATAAAGCAATTTGTAAAAAAATATATTTTTTTTAATATCTTGAATTTAGAAATTTTCTAAAGGAAATGCTTTTTAAATGTTTAACACCGCTTTTTCTTTTTTCATAACGCACTGCTATTTTAACCTCATCCAAACTGATCATTTACCAACGCAATATTGGTGTTCTCTGTACACCAATCCAATTATACCACTTATTTAATATTTTTTTTGAAAAGCATAAACAGGGGATAAAATAAAATTATTGATTTCTATGGATATTATTTATTGAATCATTTAAAAATTATTTCCTATTTTTTCCTTTGCCTTTTGTTTTCTTTTCCCTGCCTTTCCCTTTATTAAATTTGTTAATTTTTCCACCAAATACCTTACCATGTCTAGGTTTGCCTGAATCTTCGTTCTTATTGAATCTTTTCCCATCTCTATTCCTCTTGAAATTCCCTTTACCGTCTTCATTCTTCTCGAATCTTCTTTTACCGTGTGATTTCTGATTGTCATCGTTCTTATGGTATTTCTTCTTTAATTTCTTGTCTAATCTCATTTTCTTAAAACCTCTCGCCGGTTCGTCGGTTTTTCGTTTCCTTGATTGATTTTGACTGAACAGATCTGTAAACAGCAAAATGCACAAACTTATATGCGACATATTGAATCAAACTAAAAATATTGACTATGGTAAGACTTCATTTTCACTAAGCGATTAGTGGCCCGACTTGATTATTTCAAACCCCAGTGGAATATAAGAGTAAAGCTAGTGGAAGAGGGGTTTTATAAACATATCAGTTTTAGTCATAGTGAGGTACCTTGTTCGGGCTCAGCGCCGACCTCCTCCCTGTAGTAGTCGGCGTCGTCCTCCGCCTCCCCGCCCTCGCCCTCCTCGCCCTCTGCACCCGCCGCGCCCTCCGCCGCCGCCAGCTCCATCAACCTGACACATTACCCATATTTACTTTCACATATAAAAATCAACATATTTGATACTAGATGTTGCTCGCGACTTCGTCCAAAAAATATAGACTCAAACTAAAACGTTCAATAATTTATAAGGAAATTAAACAATGATCTAAAATCATACCTCTGGTTCTCAGTAAGTTCTTTCTTCTTTTTAATACCTTCTAACGCTTTCTGTTTTAATTCTTCTTTCTCGTGCTGTTTACGTTTCACGTTTTCGTCTTGCTGAGCTTTGCGTTTCTCTTTGAGACGTCTGAAAAAAAAACACAATAAAACAGCACATAAAAATAAGAATTAATAAATGATTATTGCAGTTTCTTAATTCTTTGTGAAAGAGACAAACCTCTTTTCTTCTCTCTTCTTCTTGATTAAAGCTTTCTCTTCTTCCGTCTTCTCTATGAGCTCGTGGTACAGAACTTCTCCGTCCATTAAACCATCTTCCACCTGGAATATGGAAATAAAACATATTGTTGTTTCCCTTTCAATGAAATAGCAAATGTATAGTTAAGGAATTAAAATCCCTGCCCACTTATGATTGAATTTCATACCATATCCTATGTTATCTAACTTAGTAGCCAAATGGGAAACAAAATTATGTCGGCTTACTAGCGCCGTACTGGCAATATGTCACAAGATCCTTTTGAGTACATTTTTTATGGCATTTTCCATTCATTTTCTGACTAGCTTTCGGTTGCGATTCCGTCCGCGTGGAATTAAAAAAAATGTGTACCCCATGTGTTCTTCCAGACTATCCTCTACATCTATACCAAATTTCATTGAAATCCGTTCAGCCGTTTATTCTACAAACTTTAACAAATATCCATCCATGTAAACCTTCAGATTTATAACATTAGTATGATTAGTATGATAAACCGTTAACAGCATCCCTCAATGGAGGGATATACTTGTTGGTTTAAAATTGCATCACAAATCTTACATTTCACTGAGATGGGTAGGTAGTAAACATCCTCGACTATACCTTGATAAGCTGCATAGTGATCCTAGGTCCTAACTCCACCAGTCGTATAGCGGACTTAGAGTCAGCGGCGGCTCCGCGCGACGCCAGGCTCTGCGGCAGCATCACTTGCGCGTTCGCGTCATCCTCGAACTCACTTTCTGACATTAACGCTGCTCTGAAACGAAAAACATTATTTAATAATAGCTGTCGCCCGCGACTCCGTCTGGTATAAACAAAGTAAGTACCCTATGTGTTCTTCCAGACTATCCTCTGCATCTATACCAAATTTCATCGAAATCCGTTTAGCCGTTTAGGCTACAAATTCTAACAAACATCCATCCATCTAAACTTTCGCATTTATAATATTAGCAAGATTATGAAACTTCACTATTTAGAGAAAACTTTTAACTACCAAACATATAAAACTACATTTTTCTTCGAACTAAAGACAAGTATGTTTTTGTACAAGTTTCTGTGAAAATTCATAACAAGTCTTCAAGTTTTTTTTTTAATATGTATTTATTAACTTATATCTGTTACTTGTAAATTTTAACTTATAGCAATTTTAATATCAATTTAGGTAATTATTTAAAGTAAACTTACTTGTCAAAGAATTCAGACATATCCTTGCATCTGTTTAAATTGGGTATTTTTCCTTGCACCATCTGAAATACAAGTTACTTTTGATGTAAAAACATTAGTTTCTCATGTTAGAAATGTATAAAAGTAATTTTTATCTGTTTTATTATATTCTCAGTAGTTTAGTAGTAGTTTTTGACTGATTTCCCAAAAGCAGGTACTCAATTCACAACCATACAACATGCAGAGTCCATTATATTCAACAAGCACATACATAACACACAATTCACAATCACACGTGCCCACTCACAATCACATGTGCCAAAATATTATTAATACCTTAAATTTTCTTGTACCTTTTTTAATAGTTTCAAAATAACTCATTAATTGTAATGTATTTTTTGTTTTTTTTTTTGTGTAGACATTAAAATAATTATAATGAAGTATTGGGGAAGGAATTGGCTCCTGTGACACAGGGCAACCTACTACAGGAGCCAAGAATTTCATAAAGTGTATACAAAAGAGACAATAAATGAATTATTATTATTATTATTTGTCTGTTTTTTTTAGTATTATGGTTTCAGAGTGAGGAAACAGCAATAAGCTTAAGTTTTTACCTTTTTGGTACCCTTATTAAGTCCGACTGGTATCGCGCGTATGACGTAATGCCTCATGTCAATTAGTTTTGTCGTCGGATTGTAGTTCATGAGAACACAGCGTCTGATATTTTTAAGTTTTACCTGAAATTTCATAAATAAATTAATCATATCAGTTTTATGAATGTTAAAGGTTGGATGGATGGATGTTACTATGTTTATCAAATTAATGGGAATAAAGGTAGTAAATAAAAATAAATTAATACAAAGACAAATTATGAAAATTAAAATAATTATATAAAAACTCAAACTATAATTACATACTTAATATATAATTTTTGGCCGACTTCCCAAAAGAAGGTGGTACTCAATTCGTCTGTATGTTTTTTTTTATGTGTGTTACGGCATAACTCCACCGCTAATGGACCGATTTTGATAATTCTTTTTTGTTTACACAACAAGATAGCAATTATTTTTAAATCTATTTGGTTAATGTAACTATTCCTATTTCAGTATTTTCAGACAAAATAAAAAGACACAACAATACATCCTTGAATAGGTGTTGATAGGAACTTACTGTGGTTATATTAATTGTTGGAAACATATTCTGAAACATGGTGGCCATCAGTTTCATATGATTTCCTTCTCCGGAGAAACTATTGAGGACTATAAGAGGGGCGCTTTTGAATGCTCTTGACATTACATACTGCTTCCGTAGAGATGAGACAACATCTCGGGCCAAACTGTACTGTAGAATAATGACTTTATTTAGTTATGAAATAAATTGCAATGTTACTTTGCATGAAAATCTTGTGTCACATAGGTTTAAAAAGTAATTTTATAATAGAAAAATTCTAATGGTTCAGAGCAGTAAGTGCAGCTCCCGATCTGCATGTGGCATCTGAATTACTGATGTATCCAAGTAGATGCAAGCACATTGTTAGCATTCATAAATAATTTTAAGAATGAAAATATCTTTTATTTAATTTATTATGTATTTATTTTAAAATCAAGTTTACTAAACATCTCTACCATTTTTTTTTATTGTTGTCAAATGTTTGTCAACCATTGATTTAGAGAGACATAAATTTACTGTTATTCTTACGTTATGTAATCTGAATGTAAGCGTAGGACCTCGAGGTAGCCGTGCAAGCCGCATGTACGACCCCAGCTCTGTCTCCGTGAACGTCATCATGTGAGACACATGCAGGTAGCCCGACACCGACAGAAAATCTTTGATTGTATTCTTCTTTCTTTCCTGAAAATGATTATAATAATTTAAACTAACATTTTAAAATGATGTGTATTTATCACATTGGTTTATTTAGTTTTTAAAAGAGTGTTTAAAATGCTAAGGAAGGTTAAATAAAATTAGCAGATACACATATTGTTTTTTTTTTTTTCTCTATGTAAAACTTATATTATAATGTGCAAATAATTCATACAAACCTTTAACTGTGACGCGGTAAATGGTTCCATTATTTTTCTAAAATCCTTAGTCAATTCCATAAGGTGTTTTGAACATTTTCCTCTATGTATAACGAATGAGTGAGGCGCCTTTACTAAATGATCAGGTTCTAGAGCCTCCTTAGTTGCAGTGTTTCTTTTCACACATTTACCTTTGCGTTTCCCCATTGTTTCAATTAATAAAAGAATCTAATGGCAAAATTATTTCATGTGTACACAATTGTAAACAAAAAATATTATAAGGTTAGAAATAACATGCCAAATAGCACGCCTCCTTTTGACGTTTACTGACAAATGGCAATGACAGTAACGTTCCCATACAGGTAGAAAATTCACATCAGCAATGTTAATAAAAGTATTGCGAGCAAAAATTAACCAAAGGAATAAGTAACGTTTTAAACTGTTAACGTAATACTAATCTTTAATTCTGCAGTTGTCTTGTTTTCCCAAGCGACTTATGACCATTGTTCATGTCCAGAACAGCACATAACTATAGTTGAAATATTGAAGTCCTAAAAACAAGGCTTTTAATGTTTTTCTGACATATCCGTTGGTTATGTTAAGTTAACCATAATGAATACATTGGAACATTGTTGCATTACCTCAAGAATATTAAATATTTGAAATAAAAACACAACAAAACAAATCAAAACAGCTTTATTTCCTGCTGGTTCTCTTAAAATTTCCCATACTTGCTCATAAATACTACATTACATATCCTTCAACTGTCAAAATGCCGACAATGGTTTTGTTCGTATGTATTAAAAAAAAACAATTGCAATATAAAATTTCAGATGAGTACTTTGAACCGCTTACAAAAACCAACACCAACCAACTGCTATTGCTACACCAGTCCATGGACGTTATAGCATTTTGAAGATTTTAAGAGTAAGTTTGAACAATTACCCAATATTCTATACGATATTTCCTAATATTGGGCTCATCCACCATGTACTTTGGCAGAAAGAAAATTATCTACAACGAGAAAAGCTACTTAAAAAAACAAATGTCAGTGAGAGTGGTAACGCGCGAAAGTTTCAATAATTTTCCTATCTTAGAGTGCAACATTGTTTCATACTATTTATGTATTAAATTTCGAACTGTACTTTTAAGAAATTGTTCAAATTTGCTAGCTATTTCATAGAACCGACATTATATAACATTTAATGTATTGGGTTTGCATTGACGCCGTGTTAAGACCGTAAGAGTCGATTGTTGACATAAAATTTTATTTTTCATCTCAAGAGTACAAAGTCGATGTATTACTAGTGATACATTACTTTCGTTTATTATTTACATTTACATTTATTGTTAGCAGAGTTTTAGACAGAAAATATAACTTTAAAATTTAAGCCAATGTACATTTACAAACAATTAGTAGATGGGAGATATTTTAAACAATAGCATCTTGCACACAAAGTTATCCATTCTTCATAGTATTAACAGGACTAGCACCGTTTTAGTTACGTCACGACACACTTACGATACACAACATCAAAACTTAAGAGTTTCCACTGCCGATAAACTTGTATAAAAACAACCATTTCATTAATTGCATGTTTTAATCACAAGTTCTGACAGTGAAAACCCACAGTTACGTTTCCACACACGTTGGTTAGACTTTCAATGCAAAACCCAAAAAGGAAATACAAAATAGAGCATACTTTACAAAACGTGCTATCGAAAAAACATAAAATCTAATTGAAAAGTGACCTGTTTTTGACAATACAAAAAAAAGTTTACTTTTGGGGTATCTTCGATTACTTGAAAGATATAAAAAGCCCCTATATTACCCTATTAAATTAGCTATAAACTATAGTTCATTCTATACTATAATCAGTTAAGTACACTGACCTCTATACATGGACAGGCTACAAGCCGTGGTATGTATCTATTCGGTTTTCGCCATTTTGGTGCTGACAGAGGTTGTTAGCGATAGTGATTCCAAATAAAATAGAGATAGAATTAACTGTCGTTACATTAATTAACGCTTAAGTATGAACAAAGCAAAAGCTGGTATTTCTACGCAGCTACCTGTCCATATGTAGAGGTCAGTGGTTAAATACCACATTAATTTTAAAATTAACAGTACTTATAGTCTGACAGTACAGATATCTCGCAATATCATTACCTCCCAGAGATATCCTTTCGTTGATATTTAAAAAAAATGAGAAAAAGTTTATCAGCCTTGTGCCGAAATGATTGGCACGTTAAAAAAAAACAAAAATAGCACAGAAAAATAACGGCATTATAAAGAATGTAACATTGGTTATCAATTATCTATTTTTTTATGATTGGAATACGAAATTTGTGTATAATCAGTAAAGTATTACGTTTTAATATTAATTCGGAATAAGACCGGTTTCCGTGAGACGTGATTTTTGGGGTTACCATGTTTGCGTAAGAGACTTACACTTAAAAAAAATGACCTAGCGATTTAATTACTATTATTTATTAATATTTAACATTAAACTTCAAATAATATTTACTGATTATACAAAAATATCTTTCAATATTATAAAAAAAAAACAATATTTTATTTTAATGGCAATAAACATAGAAAATAGAAATAAAAGCGTGAAGCTATCGTACAAATTATAATTATTAGTAGAGACGTTAGCGTCAGTTTAAAGTGCAAATACAAAAGATACGAGATTTTCATACATTTATCGTTCGACATTCAATCTTTAGTTTTTCGGACAGATTTAATGTGATTGTCTAAAAGCCATTAAATGAAAAATGTGGTAACATTGAAAAAACTTTTTCAAAATGGCGAATGTCGATTGACAGTTCATTATATAAATTGACAGAATGGATAATAATTTTCCTGCAGTGTTGTAGACTTTTATTTATTTCGTGCTTTGAAATATTTTGAGTATATAACATCTATTCATTACTATGCCTCCTAGGGGGAAAAAATGATGCATAGTAGGGGTTACCTACATTATTGCGATTGAGACGATATCTCAATTAATTTACGGTCAAATTCAAAAATCTTTACTTACATATGAAATTTAAAGATTTCTATTATATACCAAGGTATTGGAGACAATACAAAAATAGCTGGATTCTAACCTAAAGATCAAATTAATCTTACGTGTTTATACTGAAACTATATTTGTTAGATGAGCAAAAAATGCAAATAGATCATTGGATTAGACCGTGTTTTACGTCTCGTAAATTTCGCTATTCATATTGTAGTATCTATAATCCATATTGCTGAATATACTTCCAATATCTACTCAAAATACGCTAAAATTTATCACATCCAACCGCGATAATGTTACCTGTTAAAAATTCTGTCAATACACTAAAAAAAGCACAACATACGTCCAAGCTTCACAAAAATACTAAAAACTGTGTAGAATAGTGTTAAAATGGAACACAAATTAATTGATAAAACATTAACAAAATATGTTGATGTATCGAATGAGCGCGTCGCGTGCGCCCGCGCCGGGCCTTCGCAAACCTTACAGTACAGTCGATACCGAGATGTTAGTGTCGTAGTCCAGAAGTTGCCGAGTTCTTTAGTGTTGATCCATCTATAACAAACCAATACATTACTAAATAAATACTTACAATAAAAACTAGCCATAGATCTATAAACTATAGATACCTATTCTATGATAAATTACCATTAGCGGCAAAATTAGTGTTGTCATTAATAATATAAAATGACATTTCGAAAATTGACTGTATCTACAGATTATATAACTTTCAATATAACCTATATTTTGTTTACATAGATTGATACAAAAATAAATACAAACAAGAATAGTTAGTAAAAATAGTTTTTTATTTTTTTTTAGAGATTCAGTTTTAGTTTTTGAGTTTATACAGAACAAAGCTTTTTTTTATCAGAATTTTGTAGAGTAAGAGAGACACGGAAATTTAGTAGTTAGTTTGTTTAACATTAGAATGTCCCTAGAAATATAAAAAACGTGATTTTAATTCAACATTCCAATTATTAAGGCACTTCATGGTCGATATTTTTAAACATTTTTGTAGGTTATTTTTTTATAACGTTATGATTAAAAATGCAACTATGTGCTTAATTATTTGTTATAATTATAAGATAATGGTTAATTTACCATTAATTAATCAACTTAATTGTGTCATTAATTGAGTAACACGGTGAGAGAAACCGCGGAACACAATTAGTTGATAAAAGTATGAAAATAAATGCGTAATTTTATATACAGATGATAGATGGAACCTGTCTACAATAACATGTCATGATTGGTCATTGTCGCCGTAACTCCATACCATAGACAAAATTAAAACTATAAACATTACAAATCCACTGCACAAGGTCGCAGATTTAGGCCAGATCTGGAATTGAATTAATATACATATGTTATTTTGAGGTTATATTTTCGCATGCCACGGTGAAGTTTAGTTTTGTTAGTACGAAACGTTTTTATTTTAATTTGAGACTAAATTCGTTAGATTATTATTTTGTTAGTTAAAGCCAATTTATTTACAAGCGTAGAAAACAATTTGTTTATTATGTAATGTGATTTTTTTTAATGTATTAATTTGACCCTGTTTCGTCATTTTTTTTATTTTAGTTTTTATTGATATACATACACATGCGCTTCTTAATTGTTTAGTTTTTACAAGTTAGAGGTGTCTAATAACTTTTTTTTTCTCCTATTGTTAATTTATTCAACAATACCTGTTCTTGACCGTTAGTCTCCTGTGACTTCATTACATCAGGCAGGTCCGGTGGTGCTGAGTATGGGGTCAAATCCAATGCTTCAAATTCGCCATTTTCTTTCCTGTAATATAAGTTTTATCTATACTAGTAAACATGCACTTCTTTGTTGCCTAAGATGTCAGTAATTACAGTATATTTTAGAATATATATTTTTTTAATAAAAAACCCTACATTTACGTCATGCTTTAGGCTATATATTTTCACGCCATTATACTTAGTTAGTAAATATTTTGGATGAAAACTCTAATGTTGGAAATAGACCACAAATTGCTGCCAACATCAAGGAAGCAAGATTGCTATAGTAAGGTAAAAGGTTTTTTGACATTTGCAAAAGTTTTTATAATTTCATGCAGATAAAGCCGCATGGGAACAGTTAGTATAACATAAAAGTATCATATCTTACTCCTTACTAATATTATAAATGCGAATTTTTGGATGGATGGTTTGTAAGAGTTTATAAACTGCTAAGCGAATCTTGATGAAATTTGGCATAGATGTAGATGATAGTCTAAAACAGATGGGCTAATTGTTTTTGTTTTTTTTTTTTAATTTCACGCGGACGGAGTCGCGGGCGGAAGTTAACATATTATCTTACGTAATGTGTCATTTATTACATGTTTTAGGTATAAGAAACCTTAAATCTACTCAGTGACTACTTAATCCATGTAGATTAATATTTATTATTAAATGAAACATTATCAATAAAAGATATGAAAAGGATACAAAATATCTAATGAACTGGCAACTAGCAGTGATAAAAAAGGTCATTAAAAAAACAACCATGGAGTTTTTAATTATCTATCTCTTTCCATCTTGTGTATTTTAAAATGTCTCTTTCTAAAGATATAATCGTTTCCTTCATACAAAAATCCTTATCCTAGTCACATTGTATAATTTTATAGTAAAACTTCAAATCACTAACATAGTTAAATGTATAAATTTATAGACATCAAAAAAGTTTAAATGATGTATATGGTAGCAACCACAGACTAGACCATCCTTAATAGGAACTAAAATTGGCAGGACGGCACTGGATGTGGATGCCACAGGATTAATATTTGTGGGTCAAGGTAAAGGCCTACATAACAGACACTGGACAACTTTAGCAAAGCAAATGTTTTGCAGATGTCTATGACCAGTGGTTGTTTTGCAAATTCAGGTAGCCACTTGCTTGCCAATGTCATAACTAATGTAGTAAAACATAATCCTATTCAAACCTTAATGCCAGTCCGATGGGTGCGGGTGATTGAGCTTTAGCTGTGGCCGATGTCAGTCCATATTCCGCAAGAGTTTTCTCATCCTCCATCAGCTGGCTGTCCTTGTTGAACAACATCTGACTTGGTGGAGGCACCTTTAGTATCCCTGGAATATTATTTATCTCTGATAAGTTTGAAATAACTCAAGTATAACTTAGTGCCATTAACAAATGTAACAAATGCTAGGACATAAATCTTCAATCTTGGATAAAGTACAGTTTGTATCCTATAAGTGTAAACTTAAGTTTTTTAAGTTTAAAATAATAAGAAGACAACTTGGTAAACAATAATAGTACAATGCTTGCTTGCATTATTGTTTATTGTCTGATATACATCCTAATAAATTCAAAGCAAAAATGTTATTGTAATACTTAGGCAAGTACTATTTTTTGACAAATAATGATAATATCATAGTAAAAATTATCATTTGAGTTGATTACAACAAACATATGCAACAAAGTCGCTTATTCTACATGTCCGACATTGTCTCAAACCTAAAAATAGCATAATCTGATATCATACATTACTCACTCACCTTCTATCATTTTCTTCAACTCTAGAACAGTCGTAGTATCTTTGGCGTCTGTGAAGATGGTTAACTTTTTTCGCCGAATCATTAAAAAGACATCCTGAAAACAAATTGCACATTTGAGGTTACATGTCTCGATTATTATAACTGTACAAATTTCGAAAACGAATTTCACTTATTGAACACACATCTGCAATAAAAACAACGTACCATATTGAAATTATTCTAAACTATAGCCTACTTATTATTTTAAATATAAAAAAGCTTCAAGGCGTACGAAATGGAATTAAATATTAAATGACAACTAACGGATGTAGATTATAGATACAAAATATGAAATTAGGCATACCATCATTTCTAATTTTGGTTGTGAGTACGATTTTCTTTTGTAAATAGTTTAGAAGTACCCAGTTGTTTATTATACTATTATCGTAAAATAATGTTTAGAGAATTAATTTCTGTACGTATTAAATAACTTCAACGTTGTATTTTAGAATGTAGTCGGTTTACATACTCTTTGAGTCGAGTCGGGTCAGGGGTCAGCGTTTAGCGTCGTTAGTGTGTTCGAAAACCATATACTGTTTTTGCATAGATTTTTATGATTCTCTACTAAAAACTATTAAACGTATAACTACGTATAAAATGAGAGTTAGA